GACAACACTGTGACTGGAATGGCAGACTTGGGTTGGATAGCTTACTGGGACCCTGGAGCAAATCCCCCTGTGACCTCAGAAGCAGCATGTCTTGAATGTTCTCTTTCATGGCATACCATTATAAATATTAGAGCCCACATGCATCATATAAATCACTGATGGTTTAATTGATACTTTAGTAGATGAGAAATTCTGGAATGCAGTTCGTTTCCTCCATGATATGCTTGTTCCAAGGACACTGCTAGGTGGTTGGGAGCACTGGGACAGAGTGATACCTCTTTTCTACCCAAACCATGCCCTACATAAATACAGAGCTAGATACGTTTACCTGTATCCTTTCCCACTCTTCCATCCCCAATAATACTAAAGCAGCAACACGGACATATTACACTGTCTGTCTTCATTGCTGAAGTGTACCAGATGTTTGGTTGACTTTCACTGTGGTTTGGACAGCTTAGATTTGAAATTCAAATCCTGGGGCAGAGGCTAAAATATGCCAGATGAGACACAAATTTCACAGATGAACCTTCTTCAAAGACAACCTTATGTCTGCAAAAGTCTCAAACATAATTATGAGGGTCATGAATTGCATCTGGCAGTGGAGTTCATATCAATGTGCTGTGGAGACTATTCTTTGGTGTGAAAGGTCATTCTCACTCAAAAAACCCAAAAACAAACCACTTCCATTGAGTCAAATACGACTCGTAGTGGCCCTATAGCACAGAGTGGAACTGCTTCTGTGGGCTGTAGTCTGTAAATCTTTACAGGAGGAGGAAGCCTTATGTCTAACCCCTGGAGTGGATGGCAGGTTTGAACATGTAGTTAGCAAGCAACCCATTGGGTAAGCCACTATATCACCGAGGTTACTCAAATTTAAATACTTAAGGTGATTTGTTTAGTGATAAAAAGTAATTATTGAATCCTGGAACATCAGGACATCAGAGAAGTGACACTCTGGCATCAATAACCAAAAGGGTATTCCAACATTTATAGTATGCGCTCAATAAATGTTTATGAAACAAAGCATTTGTCCTTGAAGTTTTATCTCTAATTCTTTAGGGTCACAATTGGAATTTTATTTATAAAAACTGTTTTATACATATTGATTTGATACTGATACAGTATTATTAATTAAGGTCCATAGTTTATATTAAGATTTACTCTGTATGGTAGGGTTTCTAAATTAAAAAAAATTTTTTTACAACAACAACAATCTAGATAGGAAACAGAGGGTTTTTGTTCATGTTTATACATGAACCTGGGATTAGCGTTACCTCTGTCTGACTCCCAGGTCTTCACTTAGTGTGTGTGTTTAATTAATAAGAAAAAATGTTGTAGAGAATATATACACAGCAAAGCATACATCAATTCAACTCTTTATACATCCATCCAATAGGTTTTGATAAATAGACAATGTCATATATCCACCATAATAGTACCACACAGAATAGTTTCACTGCCCGTAAAATGTCTTGTGCTCTATCTGCTCATTCCTCTTCCCCGCCCCTTGCTGGTGTTTTCATAGGATTTATAGTATTGCCAAATAGCCTCAGGGCACAACAGTTAAGAGCTCCGAGGTCAACAATTTGAACTCACCAGTGGGCACTTTGGAGAAAGATGCGGCAGTGTGCTCCCATCACGAGGATCAACGTGGAAACCATATGGGACAGGTCTACTCTGTTCTAAGCCCCTATGAGTTGTAATCAACTCAAAGGCAAAGGCTTACAGTTCTGTTTGGGTTCAAACCTCATATAATTGGAATCATGGAGTATATAGCCTTTTCAGACTGGCTTATTTCACTTGGGAATATGCATTTAAGTTTGTTCCAAGTATTTTCATAATTTAAAAGCTTATATCTTTTTACCACTAAATCACACAGTCCGCTGTATGGGCGTACCACAGTTCCTTATCCATTCACCTAGTGAAGAGCATCTTAGTTGCTTCCAATGCTTGTCAATTATAAATACAAATGTTCATGTGAAGGTTTTTGTGATATTTTAAGCACTGCTATTATATTCACAGTACTTATGAAGAAAAGTCAAAAAGCATTACTGTAACAGCATAGAAATATTTATTAACCAAAAACATTAAAACGTGTAGCTATTGTTTCTGAATGTATTTTCCATCTAGGTCTAAACACTTCTGAATGCAATGTTTCCATCTCTCTAACCCTCCTCTGAAGAAGTCTGCTCTCTTTGATTTACACCACATCAAAATGGCAGTTTGGAAATCCTGGAGCAACTCAAACTATGTTTCTTGAACATCAGTCTCCAAGACCTGGAGCAGGGGTCCTCAACCTA